AGGCCTGCTCCCAGTGTGGTGGAGGCTCAGATCCACCTTGTTCGGTCCTGAGTTCAGTGGAAAGAATTAGGGCCGTTCAGAGAAGGGAGAGCTCCTGTTAGCATGAAAGATTCTCATGGTGAGGAAGGACATTATTTCCTGGGCCTGACTCTGGGGAGTGAAGGCCAGGAAGCTTCAAGGATAGACTTCAGCTCAGTTTAAGGAAGCCCCACCTCCCCCTCAAAGAGCCCTGGTGACATAGTGCTTACGTGTGGGTTGGGCTGCTCACTGCAAGGTCAGCAGTTCAAAACCAACAGGTGCTCCATGCGACCAAGATGAGGTTTTCTACTCCCATAAAAAGTTACAGTCTCTTAAACCCACAGGGGCAGTTCTATCCTGCCCTGTAGGGTCACCTGGAGTCAGAATAAACTGGATGACAGGGACTTTGGTGTTTGTCCTTATTTTGCCTTCGTTCCTGGAGAGCAATATTGCAATACAAAGCAGAGCACATCGGAAGTGCGAAGATCAAGCATGCGCTCTCCATTGGCTCCCACTTGCTTTCCAATTCCTGCAGGCAATGCTTTTGAGTTGTCTTTTCGTTCCTTCAAACAACTACTGTGAGGCAGCCTCTGTCTGTTGTGCTGAGACTACAGAGATGAGCAAAGCAGTCTAGGGCCTGCCTTTGTGGGGCTGGTGGCTTAGTGTGCAGACAGACAATAAAGACAGAAACAAACACAAATCAAGTATAATGTGGGCACGATGGAGGCGTTTTGGGGTGGGGCACATGGTGAAGCACTTGGCCACTTTAGCCAAAGGTGCTGGCTCAAACCCATCCGGAAGGCGCTTCAGGAAGTCAGGCCTGGTGATCTGCTTTGAAAGGTCCCCGCTCAGAGAAGCCTGGGTAGCAGCTCCTGTCTGCACACCCGGGATCGCCCCGAGTCAGAGTTGACTCAGTATCGTGAGCAACAGTGTAGCGCTCGGAGCAACACACTGAGGATGAGGGGATTGAGGACCCGGGTGCGGGCCCCGGCAAGGCCTTTCTAAATTGACAGCATATGTGCAGAGGAGTCAGTGAGGTGGGGGGTGCTTGGGGAAATTTTTCTCTTCCAAAAATAGGACCACCCCAAGCAGACTATTGTGCAGCTTGGTTTACCCAATTCACAATGTAGTCGACATCATTGCTTTCCACGATAGTGTATACGCGCTCAAACGGCTCCTGGTCAGGACTGCACGGGAGTCCGTGTTTTTAACGGGGCGTGTTGTAGGCACTGTTTTGTAGCCTTCGGGGGTGCAGAGCAGAATGCCGAGAGCTCCCCTTGGGGATAACGACCGTGTTATGAGGGCAAAACTGGACAAGAAACTGGAAACACGATGCTGGGCCATGAAAACATTTTTTTTTTACTCTGATGAAGTTTTCCCTGTGAGTGCTAAGTGCTTCTCAGCCCCTTCGGTCCCTCTGTGTTGTTATTCTAGCCTGCCTGCCTGTGTGCTGCTCTTGAGCTTCTCAGGGCCCGGCAGAGAGGGCTGGTTCCCGTGACTCGATGCTTACCTTTGTCTGGCTCCTCTCGTGAGTATTGTTCTTTCAGAGCGACGAACCCCTAAACCAGTGAGGACAGCGCCTCATCAGAGGCCCCATCGCAGACCTGGTGCTGCCGCCCTGCTTGGGGGGAGTGGTGTGGGGCCTGGGATGGATGTAGCACTGCCTGCCAGCTTGGCTTCCATTATGTGCTCCCCTCCTCTTTCCCCGGGATTCTATTACGGTAACTTGCCCCCCATAGGTAGCAGTCATTCACGAAGTCATTTCTTCCTTCAGTCCGTCATCCAACCAACCAACCAACCAACCCACCCACCCACCCACCCATCAATCAAATCCTTGCGCTTTTCTGGTCTACCCAGGCCTTGTGTCAACACCAAGTCTTAGGCACCCTAGAGGGCAGAGTAGAAGGGCCCCAGAGGCGGCTCAAAGCTGTGAATCTGTACCAAACCAGATCGCCACATCTTTCTCCCTCGGAGCAGCTGCTGGGTTTAAACCGCTGCTCTCTGGTGTGCAGCTGCACCACTAGGCCCCTTTGTGCTCCCCGTGAAGTAAATGAAACGGGCAGCTTATTCCCTTTGTAAGACATACGGATAAGAGGGGGCAAGGGGCAGTGAGAAAGACAGCAACCCAAAATACATCAATTGCATGTAACATCATTTGCGTGGTGTTAAATTGCCCTCACGGAACCCTGAGGAGGAGGCTACCTGAGCTGAAGGTGGGCCTCCAGGAAAGCTCTCAAGGCAATAGCAGCAGGAGGGCTGAGGTCTGGAGGGGAGGAGAGCTTAGTGAACCCGGGAGCCGGCTAAGCAGGGGCGTCAGCCCACCTTGGGCTCCAGGGTCTGAAGGAGTATGACCCATCAGAGGACTTGAAAGAGGTCTGTGTGGCCAGACCTGGACACATCGGAGGAGACTAGGAGGTGGTCTGACATCATGGTTCCGTTATGGATGTGGGAGGCCATTCAGAGGTGACACATTCCCATCGACTCTTTGGAAAGATCACTCTGGTTGTCTCAGGGGCTCTGGAGGAGAATTAGAAGGCCGGGTGGGGGGGTCCCTGCAGGAGTCCATGTTAGGGGGACACTTGGCTCTGACGAGGGAGAGGGGATTGGATAGGCGTGAGGTGTAGATGCCAGGCCACAGTTCTCATCTTGCAAGCTGGAAGGCCCCGGGAGGGCATTTAGTCTTGGCAGGGTTGTAGTGAGGTGAGGACAAAGGTCTCCAGGGGCTTGTATTGCCCACTTGCTGCTTTGAACAAGGAAATGGAGGAGAAATAGACTTCCTGTCTGTTTTCCTCCTTGCTTCTGCGGCCTTGGGCTCTGCGCACGGTCTTCCCCTGGCAGACTTGGCCCTCAGTCTGCAAAGCAGAGGGCAGGGTTTCCCCGCACTGGGAGGAGGAGGAAGGCTCAGGCCGTGCAGAGGAGGGCCAGCAGCCTTTATGACCCCAACTTGGTGCCCCGGGTCTGAAATAATGACTGCTGCAAGTTTTCAAAGGAGGCATTTCTGGTTCTACGACAAAAGACAAATATGAAATATAAGGCAGTAAGCTCTCTAGCGAAAAATAAAACAGGATGAAAGTAGGTTTGTCTGACTCCAGAGCCAGGTTTCTTAACCAGCAGTTAGAACCAGCGGTTCTCAACCTGTGGGTCGTGACCCCTTTGGGGGTGGAATGACCCTTTTACGGGGTCGCCCAATTCATAACAGTAGCAAAACGACAGTTATGAAATAGCAATGAAAATAATGTTATGGTTGGGGGTCACCACCACATGAGGAGCTGCCTGAAAGGGTCACGGCATGAGGAAGGTTGAGAACCACTGTGCTAGACTATCACTAGATTAAACACCCCTCCCCCTCCTGCTCTTGAACGCCTCACTCTCTTATTTCGTCGTCTGCCCCTGAGATACTGCAATAAGTCTGCAGGCAACAGGTTCCCTTTGAACCAGAAAGGGACAGGCCACAAGGTGGGTGGAGTGACTTTGGGCTGGGGCATTGATAAATCCCAGATCACACCCACTGCCACTGAGCTGATTCTGAGTTTCCGAGACTGAGCATCTTTATGGGAGCAGACAGCTTCATCTTTCTCAAGTGGAGAGGTTGGTGGGTTTGAGCTACCAACCTTGCAATTAGACCTTGTGACAAGGAGATGTCAATCCTTACTACTGTTTTCTGGGGATCTGAGAGACAAACAAATGAGGACCAGTTTGGAAGTGGCTTCTCTTGTCAGAAATATGTACAGTTACAGCACAGGGGAAACTTCCCAACTTGGGCAAGAGCCTCCCTAGGCAGAGGTATATTTCTGGTCCTGCAAATGAAATGAAGTTAACTAAATTTAGGTGCCGTGATTCACCGTGTGTGTGTGTGTGTGTGTGTGTGTGTGAGAGAGAGAGAGAGAGAGAGAAGGAGAAAGGCCTGATTTTTGATTTTTTGAGGCTCATGACAAAGTTAAGCCCTTGGATAACCCACCCCACCCCCGCACCATTGACTGATCAAACATGTGCTTCTATAGCATGCCTGTCGGTATACACTGGCCAGTGGCCATTTTTTTTTTCTTTGCAAACAAGTCTCAGATGGATAGGCTTCTGTTGACCATGGGCAATTTTCAAAAACATAAATTTATCACCTTTTAGAAACACCTCAGTTAAAAAACCCAACCCCCCCCCCAACAAAACAAACAGCAGGCATAAGACGAGAGCCAGGGTGAGATTTTGGTAGTGGGCCCTTCCACGTGCCAGAGCTGCTGTCTCTGAATGAAGACTGGCCACGACCAGGTCTGTGCTAACCATTGGACTCAGCTGCCAGGGAACCTACCTGGTGGCCAGGGGAGGCCATAGAAGCCAGGGGGTGTATGGACCTCCAAGTTCTCTTTCTGTTCTCTTGCCTCTCCCTCATCTGAATTATTGTGGCACACGTTTATTCCCATAAAGACAGTTCACAAGTAAACAGTTCAAGCTGCAGGGGTTTGGAAAGGCTGTGTGTGGTTGAGGGAAACTTCTGCCATTAAAGAGGAAAGGAGTAGGACAAAGAATCCACTTAGCACAAAATGACTGGAGGGGGAGAAATCCCTCACACCTCACTACTGAGGAGCCCCACACAATTCCTGCACTCCTGAGGGAAGAGCGTGAGCCACCCACAGCCCGAATGTGCTCATTGGGTAGAGAGAATGACAATACATTTTCTAGCGAACCCTTCCAACACTTCAGGCAGTGGTGGGGAGACCCCCATCTGAGGGCTGTCAGCTGTGGCTTGGAGAGAGGCCCCCCTTTCCTGGCCTCGCCCTCCTTCTTTGTGCAGGGAGAGGTTAAGCCTGGCCATTAACCCATAGGTGACCCAAATAGAATTTTCTGTCCCTGGGATCCGTTGATTGCCAGGTATGGCTTTTGTGGTCATTCTAGCGTTTGCAACCCGGCAATTTGAACCTTGTGCCTGCCTAACTGCTGATTTTACATTGTAATGGTTATACTAAATCCTTTTCGTTTTTGCTCCATAGCCGCTGTTGTGACAAGAAAAGCTGTGGCAACCGAAATGAGACTCCCTCAGATCCAGTGATAATTGACAGGTAGGGACCACTCTTCTTTCACTGGATTCTTATTCCTCGTTATAATGAAACACCTGCCTGTGTCGCTCCTGGGCAAGGGTTCGGAATGCATGTGGCCCAGATGTGACTACTGGGCACAATGGAAGCTGCGCCGGGCGGTTGCGAGGCCAGAGGAAGCCATGTGGAATGTTATTGGAAGGCCTTTCCTTGGACTGCTCCAGTTCCGTGTCTGATTCACGCTTCTCAAGCGATATCCATGTAATTTTTTTCCCTCTTCCTTTCCTGACTTTCTGTGTGGCTCAGTCCTCATGCTGTGCCAGGAAGCTTCAGAAATAAAATAATAATAGTTTGTGATTTATGAAATGTGGTTGGGTGCTTATAAATATTTAACTTTTATTTGAAAAATGTTTGAATCATTATCACTTTTAGCTACAGTAGTTCTGTTGGACGTAATCCATCTACATTTTAAGGTTTTATTTATGCATAAAAGCAGTTTTAAAAGAGATCTGTGCACCAAGACTTTCTACTGTGATTTCCCGGGTTTGATTGTAGCACAGACTGTATTGTAAGTTGATTAATTTGTTCTGCTTGTCTTAATTATTGTGTTTTTAAACAGATCCATATTACTAATCGGGACACGACCAAGTAAATCACTGTAGGACAATAAATCTGCTTTAGTTCTTCGGCACCATCTCCAGTCAGGGTGTGCACCCATTATGCAAAGTCGCATTCCAAATATTCATTTTACATTTTAATTATTGAAATTCATTGTATGGAAACACGTATGATAAACCATTTGTTACATAGCATTACTCATCGAGAATTAAATGGCCTGGAAGGTTTATAGGTACTGTCAGTTGTCAGCTAAGGAAAGAGCTAGCACCCTCCACTAGCAGGAAAGAGAGGCTTGGCACGGAGATGGACCGATTCCTCATTGAGGAGATCAGGGACTGAATGAAGGGCTCCTTTTGGGGGTTTGGTAATGCGGAGTTTTGACAGAAATGATCTTTCTCGGTCTTCACTGCTTTCAGACTGGAGTTTACTCCCTGCTCCCCACCCCCATTAGCAATCACAACAGCAACCACGTTTAGCTTCAGCATAATCTCTGTCAAAGATTGGTTGTTGATTTTTAACTTACGTGATTCCACAGGCTTAAGTGCAATTTTGATTGCCATGTAGTTTTATGAAGTTTACATCCAAGTCAAATATTTTAAACGAGCAGCTTGTACTCAGATGATTCATAAAAAATGCCTATCTTTTGCTTGGTAAACAAGGAGAATATAAGCGAGCGGAAGCATTTGATTCGACAGGAAACCCTAGGAGAGTTGCGTGTGGCTTTGGGTCGTGGGCTGCATGGAGAATTCACATGGCTTGGGTATCTGTGAGCCTCAGCCGTTTGCCTCCATGGCCAAGTGCTAAAATGAATAAGGTCACAAAGAAATACAACCTCAGCCCTCTTTACTTCAGTTAAATAGGTCTCTTTAAAATACCATTTGTCCTTGTAAGCTAGTTTCTCTTACTCTTGCATTCATTAAAAAGGAACTGTCCCAATCAAAGGGCCTGCCCGTGTTTATCCATACTTTGAAACTGCAAGCGCTTTGTTCTGCGCTGTAGCTCTTCTGGGCTTAGATGACGATAAGTACCTTACGTTGTCACCCGCAATGGAAACACTTTAAAAAAATTTTTCAGTTTTTTGGCTTGTGAATGGGTTAAGCTTTTCAGTTCTTTGTTTGGTTTTCAGCTGTGACTGATGTCGAAGGTTGATACGAGTGTGGTTTGAATACCACTTGATTTTGACCTGTCCTGTGGGCTGCAGTGGCAGCAGAAACTGGACTCAGCAGCACTGTAATGAGCCCGGCCCGTGTTTTTGAAACAGGATTGTGTTACCTGGATTGCATTAGTGTGGCTTCTATTGTCGCCGCCTTGCATCTGTCCCAGTAGGGTACTTAAAACCTTTTCTTGGCTGGGGTAGTTCAAACAATTTAGGCAAAATAAGTATGCACTTTATACTGTTGGTGGCTTTCGAGATATTGTGCATGACATTTATCCTTTTCACTTTTTTTCCCTTTCCCCTTTTTGGTTTGACAAAGTAGAAAACCGTGTGCAGCCAATCTTAGCCTCTTAAGAGAGTACTTGAGAACGTCTGAGCCCCAGTATATCTGCCCAAGTCTCAACATATGTTTATGTGCTGACTGTTGCTGCTATTGCCCGTGAACTCTCTTTTTGAGTACTGATGCCAGCTGATACACAGAACCCCATTTAGCTATTTTTATTTGCATCTGAGTTTTCAGATTGTATTTGTCCTTCAGTCTGCCAAAGGTTTTAAAAGCTCCAGCCTTGTCTGTGCTGTGTGGATATGCGAATCTTCCATTTTTAACAACGGGTGGGGAGAGGGACGGCAAGGAAAGAATTCATACAAAGACGGCAAAAGAGAAAAGATTTTTCAATACTGTAAAATTGTTCCAAAGTGGGGTAGGGGGCAGAGACGAGAGAGAGAGAGAGAGAGAGAGAGAGAGAGAGAGAGAGAATGACTACAACTGTGTTTGAATTTCATAGTTTCCAATTTGATTCTGTATTACTGATTGCATAATCTCTGTGTTACGTGCTTAAAGCTTGATTTGCTTTCAGATTTATGGATGTGGATCCCTGCATAGTTTGTAAAAATAGGGGCTGGGGCCTGCATTCAGCACCAATAGTGACTGTTTCTACTAGCTGCATACACTCTATAGTTACCGTGCTGAGAGTAGGTCAGTCCTTGGGCTCGGAGTTAGCGTTGTTGGAATGCGTAGTCACCTTTTGGGCACCGATAACTTTTTGCTCCCTTTGCTTGTCCTTTGGATTTTGGAAGAACATGGCTATTTTTATCAAAGAACTTTTAGTCGTGTTATTTAAGAAAACTATTTATAGGCTGCATAGAAGAGGCTCTCTGGTCATATGGCAGGGGTGCAGGGTAAGCGCTTTTCTGTGTTAAAACTTTGGCTGTGTTATTTGTTGCCACTGATTTGGGGACATCAGCTGGACATATTCTATCAAAAAAAAAGTGGAATTAACAAAATCAGTAGTTGAATGCCGTGATTTACAAAACAGGCCTCTACTTCATTCTGTTATAATATCGTTTGACAAAGTAAGAGAGAAAAAAAAATGATCCTAAATATTTTTTGCAGTCCTGACAATTTGTCAAGTCACTTCAAAAATATTTATAGGAAAATTGCTCTAAGTGTCGGAAGTGTACATCTGGAACTGACTGCCAGATTATATCTCTGCCTGATGCCAAGTAGCTTGATTAAGAAGCGTGGAACCCAGCCTGCGTCCAATTATCCAGATATTTGGGCTGCATAGACATGGGGAAAGTCCAAAGTGCTATGTTTAATAGCTGGTGACCAGGAGCTAATAACAACACATTCCGTTAAGGTTGAGGTAAAGGACTATGTGTGGCAATTATTGCTAAGGTAAAAAGCAAAAAAAAAAAAAAGGTTTCTAGTATTGAATTAAGTTAGGGATTGATTTAACATATTCACACTGAAACTCATATTTGAACTGAAAAGGTTTGCAATAAAATACATGTTTAGAAATTGAATAAATTGTAGTTTTATTACCACATTGAATATCCTTGTGTCCTAACCCTTTTCCTTGGAGTTTTCTTAGTTCAATAAATAAAACCTCATTAGATGATCCCCATTTCAACGAGTTTATTAAATTTTGCAGGAGTAATTAGCATAAGCTGTGCTAATTTTTCTGGAAGACTAATGAAGGAGGTTCTTAATTAGGTTTACTTTGTAAGAATCAGAAAAGATGATAATGACAAAAGTCACATAGGGTGGTCTGAATTGGAAACCCAGTTTTTCTGAATCTATGTATGCAGATCTATAAATACATATAAAGCTTATCATTTTCTAGATGAAAAACTTCTTTTTAAATGTTTGCACTGAATATATTCAGCCTACTCGTTGTTATTCCATACGGTTAGTTAGGGCCACCATTTGGTCTTGATTTACTTCACAAAAGTATGTAATTTTCCACCCTTGAGTCATCGAACAATATCTGAGCCATGGCGTGGATGGATGCAGATGATCCTGCGAAACATTTCTTCCTCTCTCTCAGGGATACTGGAAGATTCCTTTCATATCAAGACCTCAAGTTTCTGGCTAGATTGGAGTTGTTTAATTCCAGTAGGGTGAGACAAGGGCTGGCTCGGGATTGGCTTATTTGTCTTTTACAATTTAGGATGAGTATGATTGAATTCCTGTACAGTTGATCCTTAACACTTAAGAAGTAACTTAAAAAATTTAAAAAAGTGGATAGAAATGGTTAACGATGAAATTCCTTCTCGACTGTGTCTTCTTGTTTCGTGTGATACATAACATAGCTTGAATAATTTGAAAGTTTGAGATTCACTCAAGTCGATATTAAAAACATGCGTTTTGAAAACCTGGCAACTAATACACCTTTAAGGATTTGGGGGTTGTTTATTGCAACGTTAACAGCTTGGCTGTGTCTCTTTTTTCCATGTGTAAGAATATCTAACTGTAAGATTTAGATCTTCATAGCTAATGTTTACAAATATGCACACATTTTGTAAGATGAAAAACTTGGTCTTCTTGGAATTGCTACACTTCTGGCCACACTTATACAAGGATCTTCTAAAAACAAATACAAACATCCCCCCACCCCCATCAACCCCCCCGGGTTGTCTAAAGCCCCTACAGATGGAAATGACTTTCATTTAGATAACCCTTAGTGGGTTTATTTTCTGATTCATGTTTCAAGGGAGAAATGGACCCTCTCTCCTGTGGATTTCATATGATGCACATCCTATCGATAGACAAAGTTACCAACATTAGGCTTACTCAAACAGTTTTCATTCAGATGCATTGTTCATCTAGCAAGTACTAATGCTGTGGAATGACTCTTCAGAAAAAAAAGTACAGGGTCACATTGTTCTACCACTAGCCTAAGGAGCCCTGATGGTGCTGTGGTTAAGCACCCAGCCACTAACCAAAAGATCTGCCTTTAGAACCCAC